TCATTCACAGACGATGAATAAACACAGAAAAATGCGCCTTGGTCATCGGCGGCGAAGTCTATGTTGCCTGGAAACGCAAAATGCTCCATGACGTCATTGGCGGACACCAAGCATATATTCAGAGAGAGAAAGATTTATTTATGAAGCCTCGAATTTCGCAGCTGGCTAAGACCACGCGCGGTTAGCGACAGGATTATAAAGTCGCTACGCTCGGAATAAGAAAAGCTGACGCCAGCTGTACAAGAATTGCGCGAAACAATGGTATTATATCTAAGCAGGAGCCCATAACCCGGAGCGTCTAACTTCCATACTGCGCCTATGCAACGGCGTTTTCACAAGTAGGTTTATTTTTAGATAAGCCTTTTCCGCGAATTGCTTTCGAAAAGCCAATCATAAGCAAGTGTGTCATCAATAATAAATTAACCTTTTAACAGGTAACCAGGACAACTCCCTCACATTGAAAAAAAAGCGTGGCAGAAGCACGTGAGGAATCTTCAGAGGATTCTTCTGACATTACTTCAAGCGACAATTTCAGTATTTAAATGGAAACTAGCAGTTCAGAGGAAGATCTGCAAAACGTAGAAGAGCCCGGGACGTCTACTTCATCGGCGACAACGCATAATTCACGGAAAGGGAAATCGAAATCATCTTCGAAAAAGCCGACTGTGAAAAGATCCAAGCGACAACAGTCATTTTTCGCGGGAAAAGCTTATCTAAAAATAAACTCACTTGTAAAAACGCCGTTGCACGAATTTATGGCAGTTGCACGCTCCGGGTTATGGGCTCCTGATCTAAGCTGAGACATTATCTAACTCTTCTACAAATGAAACAAATCTACTACAGCTTAATATACCCATATATCTCTTATGCAATATTAGCCATGGGGGAGTGCATACAAAACACATATTGATAAGATACAAGCTAAGCAAAATCATTCTGCTAGGCTTATTTTCTTTGCCACCACTTATGGTGAACACACAGAAAGTGCACTTCCCCTGCTAAATTTATTAGACGTTCTTACGGTACATAATGTTTATCGATTTCATGTTCCCGTGGGTGTTCCCCAAGGTTCAGTTCTGGGACCTGTACTCTACCTTCTGTATACTGCGCCACTTGCTAAAGTGATAAGATCTTATGGCTTAGATTATCATCTATACGCCGACGATACTCAGTTATAATTTGCATTCAAATCGGTGGATGTGGACGCTTCTAAATCGAGGGTCGAGAACAGCATTTCTGCAATATGTCGCTGGATGGATCTCAACGAATTGAAGCTAAACCACGACAAGACGGAGGTCATGCTCATTCACTGACAGTATCGTCCCTCTCCATCCTTTCAGTCCTTATGTGTTGGTGATGAGAGCGTGGCTGCCTCTCAGTCGGCTAGGAGTCTTGGTGTTATCTTTGATGAGCACATGTCTTTTCATGCACATGTGTCTAGCATCTGTAGATCATCATTTTATCATCTCAGGAACCTATCTAGAATTAGGAAGTATTTTACTAAAGAATCAGCAGAAGTTGCTTTTCATGCATTTGTCACATCGAAACTAGATTACTGTAATGCATTACTATACGGCCTACCTAAGTATCAGTTACAAAGATTGCAGTATGTACAAAACACGGCGGCTAGAGTTGTGTTGCAAGTGAGTAAGTTTCAGCATATCACACCTGTTTTGTGTGAGCTTCACTGGCTACCGATTCAATATCGTATTATTTTCAAGATTCTGCTCCTCGTGTATAGATCACTGAATGGGACATCGCCTAGCTATTTAGCTCAGAAACTATATTATCGATGTCATACTAGATCATTGAGGTCTGTTAGTAATGAACTTTTAATGCAACCAAGACGTCGTAGATGTGCAGAGGATGTCAAAGGAATGACTCAAAAGGGCGTGATGCACTTGCACAGCTGCTGTCACTTGCAAATAAAACTGTTTCACTCAATTTGGCGCCAGTTCCCACTAATTCAATTTTAATACATTTCGTGACACAGCTCCTGCTTTAAGCTCTCTATTATTCCAACGGAGTGTCTTTCTAGGTAATCATCTAAATTAATTTTCAGATTACGAATCAAATGAGCGGGCCAACTTTTATTGAGAGTTATAGCATGAGAACTCATCGTAGAGCTTACACCTAGGAAATTATCGTCTTCTATTTTTTGAGAGTTTGAGAACAGTTGGTAACCGCTCGCGCTCCTCTACCTTGTACTGCAATGTCGGAAGAAATAAGGCCAAGAAGTTCTTTTATTTAGTGGCAAAACACGAGGATGATGTCCCCAGCTCTTCAATATTCAAACACAGCGAAAGCCAGCCGAAAAAAAAAAGTATAGAACAACCACGGAATTGAAGTAACAGAAAAAGTTTAAAAACAATTTTATGTCCAACTGGCTTCGTACTTAAGCAAAACGAAATATAAGCTTTCAATGGAAATATGACACAATTATAGGATAGATTTAGAATTACGTTTATAGTCTCAAAAGACAAACTTTAGATTCAAGGTGTATTGGGAGTTTCTAAAATTACGAACTGCGAGATACATGTAAGAACTGTCAAAAATAATTCACATGACTGACATGAAATCAAATTTTGGACAAGAGCATACAGACAGGTATTATTTCCTTGGACTTCGCAAAGGCTTTTGACTCCTTTGGCCACAATATCCTTCTCGCCAACCTAAGGGCATACGGTGTCTCTGAACAATTTTTAAACTGGTTTAAGAAATACCTGAGTGTGCGGGTCCAGAGTGTTGTGGCCATGGTTGATGACGCAGCCTCGCAATGGGCCCCTCTTATGTCTGGTGTTCCGCGGGAAGTCTTCTTGATTGGTCCAATGCCCTTTACAATTTTCATTAATGATCTCCCCAATGCGTCCAAAGGAAAGGTTGTGACAGCTCTGTACGCAGATGACACAAAAATATTTAACTGCCATGGTTTGGAAGAAGATTGAATGGCATAAATCCAGGTAGAATTATTAATAATTAAATTATTTCTTTATTCACATGTCTGCTTTTTACTTCTTTTATGATTGCAGTTTTACCCCAATGAAGTGTCCAAAAAAATTGTGCAGTAATCGATAAGTAAACTGAGAAAACCTGTCTCGTGGTGCAAACTAACCTTTTGCTGTGCAGCTTGCCTTAAACGCAGTTGTAACTCTCTCCATGACGCTTGAAAACCGTTCTTTACGGGAGCAGATTTCCTGTTATCAGTTAAATGAAGTACTGACCTATTTACTGCTGGTTTAGGCTCGTAAAAAATAATGAATTTCTTCCAACTCAATGCTACTGTTCAATTGCAGCTTGCTTTATTGACATGTATCTGTAATATCATTTAGATTTTGTGTCTGAGACACAAAAGAAACAAACTGAAACTTCAATGAACTGCCCTGCACCTTTTACCACCTGCAGTTAATGACAGAATTAAACGGCATGTGCACGAAAAAGGTAAACTAAAAATGTTAATTAAAGTAAACCCCGCGTATCTCCATTCACGTCACTGAAAAGGTTGCTGTTCTAGTTTTTAAGATTAGCAACATCAAAAGACTTCAAGTTAGAATAAATCAGAAGAAACGACTTCAAGTAACGGTACGTACACCGCAATTATTTCTGTTTGTCAGTTTTCAAAACCGCCTGAATTTATCGCTTGGTAAAATCGTATTATTACTAACAGTGAAGGTTTGATGTCAGGTCGTGACAGGAGGTAACCGTCTTAGTTTTAGTTGCATCTATTATATTTGAAATTTACTAGGAGTGTTTCTTTTTTGTGTGTCCCCAAATTAGTATGTTCTTTCCGCTAAGCTATATGGCTCTGACACATGAAATAACGTTTCTGTCAGTCCATCTATATTGTAATAGCCTTTTTGGGCCTTGGTAACTGTCATGCCTTGAAATGCTAAAAATCATTTTGAGATTAAAAAAGATATGCCGCCGTGTCAAGTATGAATTCTCTGGAGTTCTTAAGCAAGCAAAACGCCTACGAAACTTTGAAATCTGACTGGAGAAGTGTAGTTTTGATTGCCTACCGAAGGATTTTTAATAAAACAAGTTAGTGAACGATTTTGACAATGTCATTATGATGATGTCTTGGCTGGAATTTACCATGTAATTAATATTTGTTTTAGCAGAAGAAATAAACAGACTGTCAGTACCTTTTTGTAAAGGTCACTTTCAGGTATTCTAAAAAAAGAAAGAGAAAAAGTCAGAAAAAGTCAGCCGAGAAAGAAAGTAACTACGAAAGAAATATTTTAAACAGTTGATGTTGCTGCACCTTTCAGAGCTGCGTTTAACTTCTTTTCTATCCCATGAGAATGTTGTTTTACTAAAGGTGGAGGGGGAGAGGACTTCAGCTCAGAGTTTCTTTGCAAGCTAAATATTTCAAGTGGAAGACAGCATTACAAAGAAGAAACCTTTATTTTAATTGGCAGACTTATCACAATTACGCTTCCACAATTACGTCCACTTTCGTATGATTTATTGGCATTGATCAAGAGCCTAAATCTCCTGACAATAGAAGAAAAGCCCGCTAAAGGGACGGGATTTTTTTTCTTTTCTTTTTCTTTTTTTTAAAGTACTTTAAAAATGCCGTTATTTTGCTCATGGCACTAAGCGCCGAATTCTCTGTGAATATTAGTGCGAAAGCTTATGATAAGGTAATCCAGTACAGCATTAGAGCCATTGGGATGTGCCCAGCACCCGTTTGAACAGGTGGTGGTAAATGAAAATTTTGAAAAGTAGCAGTGCTGATAAGCAGCAACAATTGACAGTATTCAACCTGAGGAAGATGAGTTTCGTTTATGCGAGCTGCGCATTTTGTTTCTCAAGGTTAGTAAGAAAAGGAGAAATAAAACTTTATTAAAAAACATCCAATAAAAGATTACAGTATACAAGCATAAGATAAAAGTCATGATCACAAAATCATTGATAAAAATGTTTCTAAAATAAAAAGCCTTAGGCTTGGGTAAAAAAAAAAAGAGAGAAAAATGTTCAAAACAATGCTTCAAACGTGTCTACTTTATCTTTCCAATCACATTTGCGATTTCTGCCTTGCTAAAATCGGTGTTCAACTCATGTTTAGTTGTTCTGGAGCCTCTTAAACATAAAACTGCTGATCTCAATAGGTTAAAATATAGTTTTACTCTCAGCCAATGAATCACAATGCTATAACCCATCTGCTTCTTTTGAGCTAGTTCGGTAAGAGATCGCTCGGCTTCTCTACCGTTTCCACCATATGGTGAGAATACGAGAGGGCTGAAGGAGCCATGCTCGACTTCAATAATTCGCTGGTTGTAGTGTCGCTTTTTGTCGTTCTCATTGCTCGAGAAAGCCGTGTCAAGTTTCTGGTTGAGGTGACTCTTTGCAAACGGATTAAAGAACCCTGACATCAAAAAATGTACGTTGCCCCCTTTGCCAAAAACCGCGCGCGCTCACATCCAAACGAGCCTTATCAGAGGAGTTGGCACTACTGATTAAAACTTCTCCTGTCAAAGGCGAAGGCAGGTTTGCGTCCATCAGCGACTAAGAAGTTAAAGAGTTTACAGAAAAACTTGAAAACGAGAACACGAAGAAGAAGACCTTGTACGACATAAAAGTTTTCAAAGAATATCTTGGCGTCTGTGACGAGAAAAGGGAAATTGAAGATATTACGCCCGTGGAACTGCAAGAAATCATCAAAAAATTTGTTCTTGCTGTGCGAAAGAAAAATGTGAAGAATACGAACCCTCGTCCCTCAGAGCGTTTATCCAAGCATCGATTTGATGTTTGTGTCAAGGAGATCGCAATAATTATTATCATTCACTAAAGAACAATTAAACTTCCAAAAGCTTGGACCGGGTTACTGTCATCTATACCATTAATCGACAATGTAATTGCAGAGTGATCTGATTTAATAGATGGTATTATGTCTACTGAAACAATGTCGTCCTGCAAAGAATCATTTACCAACCAATAGTCCAAGCCACGACTTTGAAGGGTTCGAGTTATATCCCAACTTAGGACCCTACAACACAATGTTATCCCACCAACGCCGCAGTTCTAGCAGTTCACCTGCTCCACCCAAATCATCTACAAAAGCTACACGTAAGAATGCTTTATTTTTTCTGATTTTGTCCAAGCCTAATTTGCACTGTTTTCTTAGACTTTTTGAGAAACTTGTTTTTGGAATTTATATCATGAACACTTACAACTGAGGTCATTTAATTGTGAAAAGTATCACCAGGCTAGTTACGAGCAGGTCCTTTCAATTAGGTAATGTATTTAATTTCACCAGGACATCAAATGTTGAGAAATTCCTGTTCACTCTACCAACTAAAGATATTTGAGAGTTTCAAGGAAATCTAATCTCACAATTTTCTTCACAGGAAAAAAAAAGTTGACGCCAAACTTGAAATTTCTTGCCGAGAAAATTTTTATTTGGGTCTTAATAATGAGCAGTTTGATTAAGATTTACTAAATTGCCAATAACGAATCTCGCTTTGGGTATCGGATTCCCCTCACAACAAATTTCGCGAACTTTGCTTTGAAGAGTCGTATCATTTGAACTGTAGTAAATACTCAGGGGCTAATTTATCTGTAAGTCTTGCGACATTCAAATTTTGAGTTTTGATAAAAGAAAAAAAGACGGGTCTGAAGAAATTTATTTTTTTTTGCAAAATTCATATAATTAAGCTACCGTCTGGTTGTCTAGTTTATTCCACCAGTTTAACATGTACTTGTCAATGTACTATTGGGTTACTGTAGGTTTCAAAACGTTCTTCTTGTATCTGTTAAGTTTTTCCCGTCTTTAGCCCGCGCGGGACTGGTAGAAGAACTACGTCATTTATATGTCGTTGTAATATTATGGTCTGGCGCATGTGCTCGCTCGAAAATCTTGAGGTAAAGTTCTAGTCGAGTTCTGTTCGTTTACACGGCCTAAAGTCTTTTCACGTTTCCTTCGAGCCTTCAAATCCTGTAAGTATATTGTCGCTAAGTATTTTCATCTTTCTTCCTTTTATTCACACTCGTTTTTGTTTTTCGTAGTCTAACCAGATCCTTGTAACGAATCTTTGGTCCGAATCTCCTTGGAATAAATTCATATGAACATTTAAGTCTACATTTGCGTTAGAAGGATATGCTGGTTTCGCTGTGGATCGTCTTGGATTTTCGTCGATTGTGCCATGAATTTATCCGTTCTTTGATTGATTGGTGTTATCGATAATTTGTTTCTTCGCTTGTGGATCGATTGTAGAGTAAGATGGACTTACGTGGGTTGAAAACCAAAACTGTCGACGTCGATGGAGCCGTTCACGAGAGAATTCTTCGCTTAAAGCGTAGTAGGTCCGGTTCAAAGGCGGCCATCACCAGAAGACAGCGCGAATTACTTGAGCTAATGAAGAGCTCTGACAATGTTGATCAGGTTAGAGCGAAGTTTCTTGATTTAGAAGTAGCTATGAGACATTTTAACGAAGCACATGATAAGTATCACGCTGAGTTGACTGATGAAAGTGCAATTCGGGACTCGATCGAGTATTTTGAATCAGTGAAACGTATGGGAACTGCGGTGTTTCAGTCATTTGATGTCTGGTTGCAATCTGCTCAGTTTAAGCTCCAAGAAGAATTAGATCTTGCCATCAGTCTTCATCCGGAAGACTCTATCAGTAATATTAGTTCTACGAAATCGAAGTCTGCTGCAAGTTCTAGGAGGCGCAAGTCTAGATCTAGCGCTAGTTCCAGTCTCTCACAGTCAAGCACCGCTTCAAGTGCAGGGCTGAGAGCCTCTGCTAAGAAAGCTGCCTTGTCAGTGAAAGTAGCTGCATTGAAGACACGGCAGGACATTCAGTTAGAAGAACTCTTGTTGAAGCAGAAGAAAGAGAATTTTGGGTTGGAAACTAAGTTAGCAAAGGCCGACGCTGAAGAAAGGGTGTACAGTTATTGTGAGGAGCGACGTCTGTCAACACTGTCAAGTCAGTTACCGACTTTACATGCAACCAAGAAGGACAGCACCGTGGATATGCCTGAGGGCCAAGAAAGTCATACACTGACACTAGCAGGTCAATTTGCAACCTCCACTCCAGGTCAAGTCGAAGAGAAGGAAACTGTGGAATCTCCAGTTCATCAGACAGAGGAAAATCAAGAGGTTAAATGCAGTCCACTAAACCCAGACGCCCCTGTATGGAAAGGTTACGGATGCTCACCCTCTGCGATTAATGGTGAAAGTGCTGAAGGTGGATTATTGGAACTACACCTAGATCTAAGTGACAAGAATGTCAGTCACGTGATTGAAGTCCAGAAGATGCAACAGCAACAAAATCAACAGCTTCAGGAGTTGCTGAAACAGCACCAGCTTCAAACATTAGTCATGACATTGCCACAGCCTGAAATCTCTGTGTTTTCGGGTGATCCTGTTGAGTACTCTGACTTCGTGCGAGCCTTTGAAAATTTAACAGAGTCAAAGACAAGCAGCCCGAACTCACGTTTGTACTATCTCGTTCAATATACATCAGGAGAAGTGAAGGAGTTAATGCAAAGCTGTTTATCGATGGATCCCAAAGAAGGCTACAAGACTGCAAGAGCACTCCTTAAGGATAGATATGGTCAAAGCTACAAAATAGCAACTGCCCTCATTGATCGAGTAACGAAAACTCCTCAGATTAAGTCAGATGATGGTCCTGCTTTGCAAAGGTACTCGGTTGTACTTACAAGTTGTAAGAACTCTCTCAAGGAAATTGGATACCTAAACAAAATTGAAAACCCTGACACTCTCCAAAGGATCATTGGAAGGTTGCCACTTTGGCTAAGACAGAGATGGAGAGAAAAGGCTGATTACATCAATGAAGAGCTGAAAAGAGAGGTCACTATCGGAGATGTTGCAGAATTTGTTGAAGCAAAGGCTAGAATAGCCAACCATCCAGTGTTTGGGAACATCCACTCGAATGATGACAAGAACAACGCTGTAGGCATTGTTTCCAAAAGAAGGTACAGAACACCATCAAAAGAGCACAAAGGTTCTGCTTTCACGACACAAGGAACCACCCCAGAAAGTACTACTGACCCACCTAAGGACAACACTGAACGTGCGCCTGACAAGTCGAACGTCAAGTGCCCATTGTGTAAGGAGAGTCATTGACTGTCACGCTGCCAGCTTTTCAGAGGAAAGTCGGTTGATGAGCGAATTAGTTTTGTGCGTAGTAGAGGACTGTGTGATAATTGTCTTGTTGCGGGACACATGGCGATGTCGTGCCCCAAGAAAAGCTTCTGCCAGATTGTCGGATGTAAGATAGGTCATCGGAAACATTCTACGTTCTTACACCCAAAGAATGACAAACCAGTCAAAGCACCAACTCCATCAGTATCTGAGACCCAGTCGAGCAACACGGAGAATGAGAATCAGAATGGCCAAGCCCGAAGCTGTTTCACTGAAATGGTAGCATGTGAAGGAGTGTGTAGTGCGACTGAGGCCGGAGCATCAGCTACAGGACTTGCCATAGTTCCAGTTAATGTCAGAGCCGAGGGAAGGGAGAAGATGGTTCAAACCTACGCGTTTCTGGATCCAGGGTCGAACACTACATTTTGCACTGACAAGTTGATAGAACGTCTAGGTGCAACAGGTAGAAAAGCGATGCTGTCTTTAACTACCATGGATAGTGATAATGTTAAGAGTGAAAGTCTAGTGGTCAATTTGGAAGTTTCTGATCTGCAAGGACGTAATGTCGTTGAACTGTCAAATGTTTTCTCACGAGTCAAGCTTCCAGTCACCGTTGATGATATGCCGTTTCAAAGTGATGTGGAAAGGTGGTTCTACCTGAAAGATATCGACTTACCTTGCATTGATGCCGACATCGAATTGCTCATAGGTAGTGATGTGCCCGAACTTCTTGAACCTCATGAAGTGCAGAGAAGTGAAGATGGTGGTCCTTATGCCGTGCGAACACTGCTAGGATGGACCATTAATGGCCCACTCGGTAGGGCAAGTAAGGCAGCCCGTACTTCAAACCGTATCCAGTCTCATGTTGTCTTGGACCAGCAGTTTGTACGTTTCTGTGAAATGGAATTTAATGATTCGCAGTTCAGCATTGAGAAAGGATTGTCTCAAGATGACAAGAGAGCCCTTGCCATAATGGAGGATTCTGCTGAGCTCTGCGGTGGTCATTACGAGGTTGCGCTTCCTTGGAAGGTCTTCCCTCCAGATCTGCCAACAACAACAAGATCGTCGCTGAACATCGTCTTGGGTTGCTGAAGAAGAGGCTGCTGAAGGATCCCCAACTACACCGGAAGTATTCTTTATTTATGGATGACTTGTTTGACAAAGGACATGCACAGAAAGTTCCTGAAGGTCAGCGAGAGGATTCACCCTCATGGTATCTACCTCATCACCCCGTCATTCACCCACAAAAGCCCGACAAGGTCC